CCCCAAAACCCCAAAACCCCAAAACCCCAAAACCCCTAAAAATATTTTCAAATTGAAAATATTATATGATAACAAAAATCGTTGCGTTCATTGTACTCAACTTAGTTGTGACACTCGTAACAGCATCTTACCTTGAGTCTGGAGGAGTAAAGAAATTTATTAATACATTAATTGAGTACGTGACTAGTGAAGATTTTGATCAAGAAAACCCTGATCAGAAGACTAACTTAAGACCAATTATTGGTATTGTAGCAAAGCCAGCAATAAATAAGTCTCCGTATACTACTTTTATTATGGCTGCTTACTCAAAATATGCACAATCTTCAGGAGCAAGAGTTGTTCCTATTCCCTATGATCTTTCTGATGAAGAAATCCAGTTTAGAATGGAAGGGATCAACGGACTCATTCTTCCAGGAGGAGCAGACTGGCTCATGGAGAAAAATAACACTTTTACAAAGTATACCAGCAAAGTGAAACTCATGATTGATCATGCTAAAAGAATGAATGATGAAGGGATTTATTTCCCAGTCCTTGGCATATGCTTAGGATTTGAACAGCTCATACTTTTTGAAGAGCCTGTCTATGAAATATTCGGAGAATTCGACTCGAGAGATTTCCCAACTTCTTTAAAATTTGAAGTTGATGCCAAATCTACTAAGATGTTTCAAAATATAGATGTATCCCAAGTTAAAGACAAAAATTTAACATATCATCATCATTTTAGAGGATTCAATGTGAGCCTCTTTACTGATACTCCTTCAATCAAAGAAGCATACAGAATAACTTCTACCAGCTCCGACAGAATAGGTCAAAAGTTCGTATCTTCTGTAGAGCATTATAATTACCCCTTTTATGGCTTACAATTCCATCCTGAAAAACCTAGCTACATCTGGATTAAGGATAAGAATATTCCTCATAGTCCTGAAGCTATAAAATTTAGCCAGGATCTCATAATCAACTTCGTAAAAGAGTGTAGAAAGAATTTCAACGCATTTGAGTCCCGTAAGATCGAAAACAAGCTGATGATAGAGAATGCATTCCTAAATCTTACTTTGACCACCAGCCAAGATATTTACCTTTTCTAACCATTTTATAAAGATTCTTTCCAAAAGGGGTTTTGGGGTTTTGGGGTTTTGGGG